GTCATCTAATCCATCTCTCTTCTCTTATGGCTAAGGAAACTGAGTAATGCAATAATATAAAAAGTAATTCCTAAAATAAAGGGACAATTTAAGATCTGATTTTTGTTATTTTTTAAGCAGCATCCTGACTTCCAATGTCCCACTTGAATTACCATTTGGAAGCAGATATTCTAATACAGAACTTAAAAGTATTTTTTAGATTTCATGAAACTAACAAAACCAAAAGCATTTCTATATTGGGACTAAACCAAGTAAATCACTAAATATAAGAACTTTATTGGGGTTGAACCAAATAATTCACTAAATATGCATACTTTTTCCAGATAAGAAATATACACTTAACAATAAAAGGCTTTTTTTAATCACTTGAAGACAAAATTAACCCCCCCAAAAAACAACAACAACAAAATGCACAAGCTTATGGTACAATGGAAAGAACATATAGCCTAGAGTCAGAGAACCTGCATGCCAATATAGTCTCTGACACTTAATATCCATCTCTGTGGCCAAACATCTCTGGTCCTCAGCTTAACTCTGCTGCTAAATCAGAGAGTGACTAGGAGGCCTTTGGGGTCCCTTCTACCTCCAGTTCCTATTGCTCCACTCCAACACCCCCCCCCCAAAAAAAACAACTAAACCAACAAAACACTAAAAAATCCAGTAAGAATGTCATTATTAATGGGAGCTTCAGTTAATAGACATATTTTCTAGGTGTAATTAGCAGACATCTCCATGAAAGACTTCACTATGCATTAAAATGGCATCATTCAGTTGACTCGGTCACCCTCAGCCATAAACATTTTATTTTACATTGTGAAAGTTTAAAGTTATGGTTTCTTAGTTAACAGTTGGTCAGTGAAACAGAACTGAAACTGCATCGCCCTCTGCTGTTTAGTTGAGATACTGAACCAATATCTTCCCACTGACTGCCACAAAAATCTCCAGGCATAAAAGAAAAATCAACAGAAATGCAAAATTATTGCTTCAAACATAATTAATTTTATATGTTGGCATGGATTGACTTAAGTTATAAATAAAAATATTAAGCTGTAAAATAAAATAAGATTTTACAACCAACCATTATCAATATAATTTTATATATTTATAATTTACATGCACCAAACACCAAAGTAGATTTTCCTTCTTAAAAGTAAAAATACAAGGTGTTTTGTTAAAATTACATGAACTGGCATGTTCCCAAAAGATTCGGTACTTAATCCTTGGTGACTATGGACAAGTTATTTCATTTCTGAGCCTCAATTTCCTCATCAGTAAAATGGAGATAAGGATTGGGTGAGGTTGGGCACATTTGTAATCCCTGCTGCTTGGGAGGACTGAGCAGCAGCAGGCTAAGGCGATCAGGTGCCAGCACTAATTCTGCTATCAATCAGAGCAGAGAGGCCACCAGAGTGCCTAGGGAGGGGCAAACCAGGCCAGGTCAGAAATGAAACAGGCCAGGGTTATAGTCTCAGCTAAGATCCCATCTTCTACAAGAAGCCTTTCCTGATCCACCTTCATGCTAGTGCCTTCCCTCTGGTGACAACAGAGATTTTCAGTTTCACATACAATCCTCTTTTTCTTCTTTTATTTGATATTTGTTAGGTTTGAAAGAAAAGAAAAATGTAAGCTCTTTCCTTATGTAGTAATTCAAAGAGCTGTTGCTTCATCAGCATCCTCCAACAGATAGCTACCCCTGTACAACTTTAAAATTTTCTGTAGCCTAAAGATGTTTTCTTACTGTATTTGAAATAATATTATTCTATACTTGGTATACATAAAATCTAATTATTACAACTTGCTCACGGCATAAGAGCCTTTACAAGTCTATCATTAAAACATAAGACCTCTTAGTCTCATAAGGTGAAAAAAACACATCTGATTCCCAAGTTCTTAGGTTAGATTATTTATCAAACGATTGTTTTAAAGGAAGTTTTGAGGGTGAGGGGAGTAATGACTATAGTCAACCTTTTGATGGCAGTGATAAAATATTCACAGGGTAACAGAATCCATAGATCTAAATCTATCTAACTCCCTCTTTGTATCAATAAGGAAGAAGGCCCACCCAGAGGTGAATTTTTGTGAGGTCACAAAAGTAATAAACATAGAGGTAGGATTTGAACCTATTGAGTCTGGAGCAGGGGCTCCTCACCTTTTTTGTGGCATGGGTGTCTTTGGCAATAGTCTGGGGAAGCCTATTCTTAGAAATGTATTTTTAAATGCATAAAATAATCCCACATGATTACAAAGGAAACCAATTATATTAAAATATAATTTTCAAATATTTTTTAAAAAATCAAGTCTAAAGACCCATGGTTAAGACTTGTCTCTACTCCAGAACCAGTATTCTTAAACTAACTATATTAAAATATAATTTGCAAAAAAAAAAAAAATTTTGTTAAAAACCAAGTCTACAGATCCATGGTTAAGACATTCCCAACTCCAGAGTCAGTATTCTTTCCAATTGATCCCAGTGCCTTTATATACTGATAAGAGTTGCTCTAAACTTCTTACCTTTAAAAGCAATTGGGGTGGGGGGGGCAGGAAGGGAGAGATTGGGATATTATGACATTATTATTCTTTTACTATTAGTGAAAATTATATGTTATCCTCACAGTACATGAAGTATTCGTGTATGGAAAAATTCTATTTCTAGCCTGAACAATTATTGACCAACTTCAAAATACAAGAAAGTGAATGGAATTGGCAATCTATCACTAAAAATGTGATCATTCATTGGCGGCCTGCATCCTCAGGGCCTGGGTGGGGAATGGGGGAGGGGGATTCTTGAAAAGCCATTAAGGAATATGAGGAGAATATGAGGATAGTCCTCAGAGAAAATTAGAATAAGAGGAAAAGAATTCAAGCTTTAACTAAGGAATGATCAAACTTCAGCAACTTCCAGAGAGCAGTATCCTTAGGCTAGCATTTGGACACAAAATGAGTAAAGAAACCTAAGAAAAAAATGGAAGAAAAAAGATCCAAGTCAAGATGAGAAATGGAAACAAGTGTCCCCTTAGAAGATATGCTGGCACATGTGTGGCTATATGATGGGTATCTTAAGAATGCTGCCCTCTGTAAATTTACCTATTTTTACATGTCCTCACTCCTCCCAGAGCCCCCTCCACTTTTAAGTTATCCAATAAAGCTCCTGTTGGAAAAAAACTTTGTGCTGGATAAAATAAGGAAAGAAAAGATTGGTCTATTGTAACCAGCCCCAGAGAACTGAGGAAAGCAGACGACTCCATGGATGCTGCCAGAGTGAGAAAAGCTGTAAGAGACCTTGGGCATTGCCTTTTAGAACACAAAGAAAACTCACCTCCTCACTGCCTGGGCAATTTCTTTATAGGAAGATGCTCCAGAAAATGTTCCCTCCAGGTAACATGTGGTCATTGCCACAAATAATGCCCCAAACTCCTTATTTATATTTTATATAATGCTGCCAGCTAGTGGTCCTATCTTATATTGAAATATTGGCAGTAGCATATCACAGTTACTTCAACTACTCTGCTGTCTACACTCTCTGCATGGTCCTTTCTAACCTACAGAAAGGTGAGTTTGTTTGATAAATCCTATTTACCAAAGAGCAAGAGGAAACCTTGCTGATCCTGCCTCACCCCCAAAAGAGGCATATATCTAACGGGAAAACAATTGTAACCCTACAAAAAAGCAAGATTGTGCTCTCATATTACATCATAAATTGAAAATTCTACAGTATCCTACCAAATAGTCTTCATTCATCTTGAGAAAAGCAAAACACTTGAAGTTAAATATTTTTGACCATTTGCAGAGAACTTTACAGAGAAAAAGTCACAAGTACTTTTCTTCACAAGAACAAGCCCCCTCCACAAAGTATATGCACTATTAAAGAATACATATGTTGTCCAAATAGTGTTTGAAGTAATGAGAAGCAGCCTATGGGTAAAAATTTTAGGAAAAAAATTACACAGATTGTCATTGCCTTGTGTAAATGTATTATTTCATTATTTCTTATGCCAGCTAAAAGAGATCTCTCTCTCTTCAAATTCCCCATGAGGCAGTTGTAATGTAAGAGAAAGAGCAATGAATTTGGAGTCATTAGCCCTGGGTTCAGATCCTGGCTCTTTTATTGGCTAGTTTGTAATCTTGGTCAAATTCCTTCAATTCTGTGACTTGGTTTCCTCATCTATAAAATGTGAGTAATTCCTATAGTAACTGTTTCCCAGGGTTGTGAGTAAAACAATCAATTAATCAACAAGCATTTACTAAATACCTACTGCATATCAGGCATTGTGCTCAAAAAGCACTCTGTAAACCTGAAGTTGCTGTTAAAATGCCTAAGTAAAATAACTGATTGTAGCACATTGTCTTTGAACTTAGCACCTCTTGCTCTATGATATGGTTATTTACGTCTATGTCATCTGCTTCTCTTCCCCACTGCCACCCTTACCCCATTAGAGTGTGAGCCACTCAAGGGCAAGGACTGTTTCTGCTCCCATCTTGTATGCACAGGGCCTAATACAGTGCCTTGCACATAGCAGGGGCTTAATGAAGTGTTTAATATTTGTTTGAATGAAAATGAACTGAATTAAATTTAGTCAATAACACATTTTGTGCTTTACAACTGCCATTTTCTGCTGATATGTGACTTCAAGTAGAGAAAATGCTATAGGATTTTACCTCTAGTAAAGAAAGATGCCTTCCTAGTTAGGTAGTCAGATAAAATATTTACTCTCTCAATATATCCTCTGTTTATCAGGAACTCGGATGGAAAGCTGATACTTTGGTCACTTCCCTAATAGATCCATTTCTTTACCTATAATTTTCAAATTTATTCCACTAAAAGGAGGAAGGAAGTAAAACAGAGAAAGCAGGTTGACTTAGCTAATAAAAGAAAAAGTTTCTCCTTTAATAACTTCTGCAGCTATATACAATTTCAATGTTAGTAAGAAAAATCACATTGCACATTCACTTTTGTAAAACTCATAAAAAGCATAAATAGAGAGAATAAACTTGCAGCTTACAGATATTCCCTGTGTTGTCAAAGCTGGTAAAAATATCTTCAACATTTATAGGCCCCTGGTTATTCCTGGAAAATAATCAAAGATTTTCTTTAATGTTTGTGAAACATCAACAACCCTTAATCAAAAAAAAATGAAATTATTATTGGTAATTCTTTATATAGCTGTCATACATCTGCAGCTAAAAAAAGTCTTCCATAGCATCTCGGATTTAGAGCTGGAAGACAGACTTCAGAGTTAAACAAATCCAATCCTCTCATTTTACAAATGAGGTAACTGAGGTGCAAAGAGGTTAATTGACTTGCCCAAGTCACACAGCTAAGCAACTATCTGATGCAGAATTCAAACCCCGGTGTTCCTGACTTCAAGAATACCCAGTCCATGACACCATGTTGCCAACCCTCCAATCTCATTTTCAGAAATATTTCATGATCACTAAAAAAGGAAGAAAAAGTTAACAAGAGTGAGCAAACTGCTTAGATAGTGAGCCAACTGCTTAAACAAACTGCTGAAATAGTCAACATGGTAGCGTTCTTTGCAGACGTTATAGGTACCAAAGACAAGACAATGGCACAGTAGGTGAGGGAGGCATGACAGATACACAAACCATGGTGAGTGGGCAAACCAGAGAACGTGTGTTTTTGCTCAGAATGTTTCATTTACCTAAGATTTAGGATCAGCTAGCATCACTGTGGAGTAAGTTCCACACCTTGTAGAACCCTCAAGGACATTATGGTGTGCTGGGTGAGAACAAGAAACATGGCAGACAAAATCTAAATTATGAGCTATTTTAAAAATAAGGAAGAATGGGGTAGGTTTTTTTTTAAATTTGGTTTTGTATGCATATGAAACTTCTCACAGGAGTAATGAATCCTTGTGCATAAATATGTAAATATGTCATATAATTTCAGCCCCCTCTCCTCCCCCCAACTCTCCTCCCTCCCCCCCCACCCCAGTAATGGAACTTGCTAGCCAGTACTTAGATGGCACAGGGACACTTTACATACATCAACTTTCTTTTTTTTTAATTAATTTATTTTGAATTGTCAACAATCACTTCCATAAGCTTTTGAATTTTAAATTTTTCTCCCCTTCCCTTCCCAAGACAGAGTGCAATCTGATATATGCTATACATATACATTCCTATTAAACATATTTTCCCATTAATGATGTTGTAAGTAAGAATTAGTAGAAGGAACCACCAGAAAGAGGAAACAAAACACAACAGAAGAAAAAAAATTAGCAAACAGTATGTTTCGATCCACAGTCAGACTCCATAGTTCTTTCTCTGATTGTGCATGGCATTTTCTACCAAGTCTTTTGGAGTTGTCTTAGATCCTTGCATTCCTAAGAAGAGCTAAGTCTATCAAAGTTAGTCATCAAACAATGTGGCTGTTATTGGGTATAATGTTCTCCTGGTTCTGTTCACTTCACTCAGCATCAGACCATACAAGTCTTTCTAGGTTTTTCTGAAGTCAGCCTGCTCATCATTTGTTATAGCACAATAGTATTCCATTACATTCATATACCACCACTTGCTCAGCCATTCCCCAATTGATAGGCATCCCCTCAATTTATAATTCTTTGCCACCACAAAAAAAGCTGCTATAAATATTTTTGTACATGTGGGTCCTTTTCCCATTTGTATGATCTCTTTGGGATATAGCCCTAGAAGTGCTATTGCTGGGTCAAACATGAACTTTCTTTTTGACATTTTGATAACTGCATTTCAATATAACTGGTTTCCTTTGTAACCCTATTTATTTTACTTTGTACATTTAAAAACCATATTACGAGAAGGGGCCCACAGGCTTCACCACACTGTCACCAAAGGGGTCAATGACACAAAAAAAAGTTTAAAAAAAAAAACAAACAAAAAACCCTTGAAGCACTTTAAGATCTGCAAAGAAATTTTCATGTTATCTCATTTGGTCCTCAGAACAACCCTAGGATATAGACACTATTATTAGTCCCATTTTACCGATAAGTGAACTAAGGCCAAAAAAGGTCGATGGTCAATAAATATTTATTAAGTACCTACTATGAGCCAGGCACTGTGCTAATTAAGTGACTTACTGAAGGTCAAATAGCTAATAAGTATCTAAGGCAGTATTTGAACTCAGGTCTTCCTCACTCCAAATCCAGTGTTCTATCCACTATACCATCTAAGAAACAGGTTTCTATTGAACCAGACACATGTGTCTGCCTGCTCTGTCATGTGACCAACAGATGGCTGGCCAGATTTGGGGGATAGTTCGTGATTGTGTAATTGAACAAAGCTAACTAACATGGTTCAAAAAGTAATGCTTTGTCTTAATCACACCATACATTAACCCAATAAGCTAACCAGAACGTATGAAGTAGTGATTCTTCATCCTTATTAAACATGTTATCCTGCGCCTTGTCTGTGCATACCATTTTCAAGGCATAAAAACATAATACATGAATCAAGAGAAAGCACAGCAAATGTGAACTTTTTTTGAAATTTTGAGGATAAAAGGATGACTTTTTAATATCTAAAATAATACTATAGCTAATCATTTGCCTGACTATTGTGCCCCAAATCCTATTTTACAGGTACACATGCTATCTTCAGTAGTATATAAATAAATGCATATACAAATATATACTAATTCCTTATAGTTCAGAACTTCTTATAGGAATTCACACGTTTAAAAATCAGGAAAACATTAACATTTAGCGAATCTAAGACTAAATAAACTCAAAATAAAACAATCAAGATAAATGCAATTTTAAAAAAAATCAGAAACCAAGGGAAATAAGAAAAAACCAACAGGTGTATGGAGGAGGCATATGGGGTTCAGAAAGCAAATGTAATAGATTTTTGCAGGGTAGAAAACGTAAAGATATACTCCAACCTTCACAGAGGATGGAGAAATGATCTAGCACTAAAATGAAGAGTCACACATATAGCATATGGAAAGAACAGATGTGAAAGCATTATGAAAATTCACAAGATGCTATTCCAAAGAGATCCTTTTTTAATTAACTAGTATAGGCAAAGGAAGAATACAGTGGGCACATGCAAAAGGCACTAAGACAGGCGAGGTCAAAGGATACGAACAGTTTTCAAAGGAAGAAATCAAGCTATTAACAACCATATGGAAAAAATGCTCCAAATCACTAATGATGGAAGAAATGCAAGTTAAGGAAACTCTGTGGTTCCAGCTCATATCCACAAAATGGGCAAACATGACAAAAAAAGATAAGGGTAAATATTGGAGATGAAGGGAAACAGGCATACACTAATGCTCCTTTGGTGGAGCTGTGAATTGGTCCAGACTATTTTGAAAAACAATTTGGAACCATGTCTAAAAATTCATTAAACTGTACATAACCTTTGACTCAGAGACACCACTACAAGATTACTCCTCAAAAAAATCCAAGAAAGATGAAAGAGATCCATATATGCAAAAATATTACAGCATCTCTTTTTGTAGCAGCAAAAAACTTATAACTAAGAGAGTACCCATCTACTGGGGAATAGTTAAACTATGATAAATGAATATAACAGAGTATTATTACACTGTGAAAAATGACAAAAGGGATGCTTTCAGAGAAAATTAGGATTATTTTTATGAACTGATGCAGAAAGAAGGGGGTAAGTGTTGAGGGGGGAAACTTTATGCAATAAACATCATAAAGAAAATAATTTTTTTGAACAGTAGTAGAATGCTAGTCACTTCTTGACAGGGGAAAGTGATGGATGGCCTCAAGATGTAAATGGAGACATACATTTCTGAACATAACCAATGCAAGAATTTGCTTTACTATACAGATCTGGTACAATAATTTTCTTTTTCTTTTGTTTGTGTTCAATTCAGGTGGGGGGAGATAAGAAAGGAAAAAAATTAATGCTTGCTAAATGAAAAAATAATTTAACTTCTTTTCAAAAGCACTGCTAGGGGCTGTGGGTCCAGGGGTAGCTCTTATGCTATTTGAGGACCTGAAATAAATGAGCCACTGAAGCTAGAAGAATATGTATGTGTGTGTGTGTGTGTGTGTGTGTGTGTGTGTGTGTGTACACATGGAAATTAATTAGCACAGGGATAAGAACTGGACTTGCTATTTCATTGGTGCAAAAAATCTCCAAATGAGAGAAGTACTTCCACCAATGCAGACAGAAGTTCTCCACAACTTCCAGTCTTAGAGATCTACCTTGAAGATGAAGAGATTGTGATTTGACTATAATCACACAGCTATCATGTGTTAAAGGAAGAACTTGAACCCCAGGAATCCTTACTTCAAGGATGACTATGAATTCTCCATTCTGCCTCTCATGGCAATTAATCAGCTCACTGAATGCCTAACAAATCTGTAATTAGTCAGTCAAATAGCATTTATTAAGCACTTACTATATGCCAGGAAGTTAAGTACTAGAGACACAAAGAAAAGTAAAAACCACTCTCTGCTATCAAGGAACTCACATTTTAATGGGGAAAACAATATCTAAATAACTAGGCACACACCAGACATGTGTGGAGTAAATAGAAGGTCATCTTAGAAAGCAAGGCACTAGCAGCTAGGAGAACCCAGAAAAAACATGCAACAGAAAGTGAGATTTGAGTTGAGTCATGAAGGAAGTCAAGAAGCTAAGAGACAGAGGTGAGGCTGGAGAGCAGTCCAGTCATGGGAGAGAGCCAGGGCAAAGGCACAGAGATGGGAGACAGCTCTAGCGTAGTGACTCACAAAAATAGATAGATAGATAGATAGATAGATAGATAGATAGATAGATAGATAGATAGATAGATAGATAGATAGATAGATAGATATAGATAAATAGATATATATATTGAAAATCAAAGAATGTTCTAGCTGTAAGAGATCTTAGAGGTCATCTAATCTGGCCCCGGTGCACTATCACCTTACTGACATATTTCCCTAATAAATAGTTTCTTCCCTACGACCTTCAAATATTCCCAAGTCTTTCCCATCCTTAAAAAACCTTCACTGATCCCAACAATCTCTTCAAGGTATCCTCCTATATCTCTCTTCCTTTTCTTGATCAAACTCCTTGAAACTCTACACTTGCTTTGACTTCCTTTCC